CCTGTGCCAGGCTGGGCACCCTGCCAGGCACCCCCCTGCCCTGGCTGGGAAGGGGGAGCAGGATTGGTGCTGCCAGGGCAGCGGGGGGTCCCCTCTGCCTTACCCGGTATTTGTTCTCGCCGATCTGCTCCACTTGAAATCTCTTGGCACACTTGCACTGGGCCACTTGCCTGGTGACCTGCCATCGCCAACAAGAGAGGTAAGGGACTGGGATTTTGGGAGTTTGCCCCAGTACAAGGTGCTGCTTGGATAAAACCCAAACCTAAGCAGCCTTTCCTTCCAAAACGTGGTAGCTACTGTCAGCACCAGCCAATTATTTTGGCCCGGCACCACCACAATCCTCTTTTTACCTCCTTTTTGTCATCCCCACCGCCAACCCACGGCCTGAACCACCCCAAGCAGCCCCCTCTCCTGGGGCTGTACCTCATCTTCAATCTTGTCAGCATCAGTGGTGGGGCGGTAGGCATCCTTGTTGGGATGGAGAGCAGCCACAAACTCATAGTAGTCGATGTAGCCGTCACCATCACGGTCAAAGATATCGGCCACCGCCGTCATCTCCAGCTTCGTGGTGGGGAATTCTGGCAGGGGAAAGAAACGAGGGACTGCTGCGGGGACCTCACCCCTCAGAGCTGGGGATGGCAGAGCACGGTCTAGGTTCTTGAGCAGGGAGAAGGTTTCTGAGGCTGGCAGGGACTTACTGGAGGCCAGGATGCCGTCGATAAACTCCTGCCGGGTGATCTTCCCGTCCTGGTCCTTGTCGATGCGCCGGAAGAAGTCCATGACACGGGACTTCTTGTGGTTCATCCAGCGCATGTACTTCTTCCTCCAGACGTCGAAGTCGAAGTTTGCAAACTCCTTCAACTGGAAGGAAACCCGGGAGAGTCAGCGGGGGAAATCCCAGCAGGACCAGCACCCCTGGGCTCTACGCACCCGAAACCGGCAGCCGCCCGGGGCCTCCCGGCGCTAACGCTCCCCACCCGCCCTCCCGGGAAGGTTCCTCTGGGTTTTTCCAGACAAACCCATCGATTTTTGGGGGAGGGAAGGACACAGAGCGGAGCTGACGGCTGCCACAGGGGCTGGGCACCAGGGAGCCCCCGACGGGGCGTCCCCCCTGCCCCTAGCACACACAGAGCGGGGGGACCAGCTGCTCACACAGACACACACACACACGCCTCTGCTCGGGGCTTTGGGGACGTTCCCTCACCTGGGTTTCACCTAACGACTCGCCAGGAGGGACACCCAGCCAAGGAGGGATTTCCTGCTCGTCCCCCAGCTAAGAGACTGGCTGGGGACATCTCAA